AAATATTGTATTACATCTTCAAGATCTAAATTTAGCAAGATACTTAAAAGCAGTGCCTAACTTTAAGCATATTAGTGTTTCCACTAACTTCATTAGAGGACTGAATCAGGGTCTAAAGCTAATTCTACCTTCAGATACATGTATGACAAAGGCAAAAAGAGTCTCTCTGAAGTTTCATATGCATTGATCTGAGCCAAATTCTGTGCTTACAGAGGTACAGTTGTAATCAGACTTGTAAAAATGTTCATACATCCCTTTAGAATTCATATACATATTGGATGTGCAAATGGGCATGTACCGGTAAATCAGGTAAATTAGTGCACAAAACTAAGGAAGATGTAACATTTTTGCATATAGATTTAGAGGGGCCTTAGTGATTATAATCTCTTTGTTCTCTTCCTGCTCTTCTATGTGGCAAAAACAACATCAGGAATAACAAAGGGGCTTCTTATGATCAGAGTAATGGGCAGTAAATTGTAAAACTTGTCATGTTGGCTCACTTACTTTTCCTCTACAAACCGAGCGCACACACTCAATGAGCTGTCCTGTCTCAAGCTGAAAAGCTCGGCAGCGCTTCATCTCCTGGTCCCACAATTTTACAGCACCTCCTTCTTTTGTCCTGAAAAAGAGCATGTTGTCAAAGATTACATGGAACTCTCCTTTCTTACTGACTGGAATTTATCAACTATTGAGATTTCATTGGGAAAATAGTAGTTTTTAGAAATTATTGTTTAAATATAAAAACGTACACATAATCTCCCTTTACTGCGTTTAAAGAACCATATTACTGTTTTATGGGAAAATGAGTGTATCAAGCCAATGTTTTGCATATTTTTCAAAGCAGTGCTACTATGACAATGACGATGTAAACTGCAAACAGGTCTCCCTGTTAACTAATCTCAATTTTTTTCTATCACACTTGTAAAAATGAAATGGTCAACTCTGAAAAAATATATTTGACTTCTGGAAAACAGAAAGCTTGCAAATCAAAGATAAAGAAATAGGGAAGAGAATCTGGAGTTTGAGTAAATCTAATAATTATGGCAAAAATGTTGCAGTCTGCCTCTGCTATGAAGGTCAGAAACCCCATAAACCAGACGGGAAACTACACAGAATTTTCCTCTGCTGCCAAACTACTGCTCCTCCTATTCTCTGTTACACTATTGTGACCCACATCCTTTCATATCTCTTCCCCTATTATTAACATCCCTTGCTGTGTTTTGTGTGATTTAGATTGTAATTTCTGTAGGGCAGGCATTTCTCCTTTTTATAGGTCTATGAAGCACTATACACATCTAGAGCATTGCATAAATAATAATCTAACACAGATATAAACAATGTATTTTAGGAAGATGTGTCTCTCACGGTCTTTCCTTCCCTCCAGTTACAATTAATCCATCTCGAAGAGTTGTGTACATTGTGAACACTGGTCCTGTATGAGCTTTTGCCACCAGTCTAACCAGAAAGTGATCCTTCCATACGTAGACATCTCCATTTATGGCACCAGTAAACGTAAGATTATTCTGTAACAAACAGAAACAACCCCCGCTATAGAAATTAGTAATAACATTTTACCACTTCTTTGGGTAACTGAATTAAAATTAAAACTCTCTTCTTGTTATTGTATTTCTCACAAAAAAAGCAATTGTGATATAACCACAGGATTTTAGTAAAATCACATATTTTGGAAAAGAACAATTGCTTACTCAATAGTAACTGTGGTCCTTCAAAATGTTGAGGTCAATGAGGCTCCCTCAGCAGGAGTGTTTGTGCTTTGTGTGTAAAAGACTGAAATGTTCACTGTCCACTGAGGCCACACATTCACCTTCTGTCTGGTGCTTCCTTGTGTTCTCACATGAGGGCATAAAGGGAGAGTTGGCCACAACTCTCCTTTCAAAGCCCGTGTTAGATGAGGACTCTAAAAAGTGGGGATGGATGGCAGGTTATGAGAGCCACATACTGCAACATCTCAAAGAACCATAGTTACTGCAGTATAAGTAGCCATTCTTTCTTCTTCGAGTGTGTATCAGTATGGGCTGTACTGTAGATGTCTGTCAAGCAACATGGAAGGTAAGAGTATCAGCTGACTATGTCAGAGAATGATTGAAATATTACTCTCTCAGAACTTCACATCTTCCCTGTTCACCACATCAAAAGCTCTCATTTCACAAGAGTTAGTGAGCTACTTCATGTTGTAACCTTGCAGAGCTCAGAGTTTGGAACAGTTTTGAAGTGGACAATGCAGGAAGCTTGCACTCTAGCAGACTGTGCCTTGATGATGAAAGGGAGAAGCTTAGCAGACCGCTAACAGATGTAAATTCATTGTGTGATCGATCCACTTGGAGATTCTCTGCAATGGCTCATCTTGGTCTTGTGAAATGGCCACAAAGAGGCAGAGAAGACTGCCAAAATGGCTTGGCCTTTTAAGGTAATACAGAAAAGCAATGGAAATGTCCAGAGTATTTAGTTTCTCCTCTCCCAGTACTGAGTGCAGCTTTGGGGAAGAAATTAGCATAATAATTAATTAGGTCATAGGATGTGAAGAAGGCCTTTAAAGAACTTTGATACCATTTGATGTTAAAATATTGTGTGCTTCTGTACTGGAGTGTGACAGGCTATGTGGACCTGGAAATACTTGAATTCTAGTGCCACCATGTGCAGGAGCAGCATAGAATATAGGATCTCTGGCATCAGAGCCTCTACTGGGTTCAAACTGGTTGCCCTGTCCCAAGTGAACTGTGCTGGTGCAAGTTACTTTTTTGGCACAGTCTTCTCTGTGCCTTTTTCGGGTGTAGTCTGTCTAATGGATGGACTAGTGGCTTGTCCACTAGCTGGGTCTTGGAATTTGACTCCTGAGGGTCTGGTGAGATCTTCGCAGATTATTCCAGAAGGTGGAATTTGATACTCTTGTCTTGCAACTTCTCCATTCAAGCAGAAAATGAGAAGCACATCGAGCATCTGCTAGCTGGATAGAAGAGGCACTTATTGTGCCCATAAAGGGGATTAGTTCATCACAGAATGGATAGGGCTTGAAGCTCACAGATTTTGAGCATGCCACGCTAAGGAGCCTTGCACCAGGAGGTCAGTAAATGAAGGTCCTCCGGTTGTATATATAGAGGATCTACCCAGCCCCCTGACGGGGAGGGGGGGCATGAGGATAATTTCCCCCAAGATCAAACAATTCAAAGAGCCTGGGGTTCTTGCCTCAGTGGCAATTTTGGGCATTCCATCAGGCCCAGGGCATGTTGCCCACTGGACCCCTGTTGGCTACATCAAGATCCCAGGTCTGAGAGGCTACCATCAGCCAGTTGCCCCTATTCCAGCAGTTCCTGCTACACTACCACCTGAGACCCAGCCTCACCCTGCAGTGCAAGCCCAGGACCAACCCTGAGGATGGCCAGGACAAGAGCCACCCACTGGCATCTTCCTCCTCTTCACTGGATGAGGAGGTGAAGCGCACCTCCATCACGGGCCCACCCCCATGGTATACAGGGCCCTACAGGACCTGCTCTGCAGGGTTGCCCTCAGCCTTAACCTTTAGGTAGAGGCGTTCTTAGAACAGGATAATCTGATGGTTGACATCCTGGCCCCAGAGGGTCTGTCCATAGGCACTTCCCCTCAGTAAGACCATCCTGTCCAAGGCTAAGACTTTATGCCAAACCCCTGCTTCTATTCCACCAATGGTGAAGGGGTTTGAGAGAAAGTACTTTGTACCAATACTTTGAATACTCGTTTACCCACCTTATTCCCTGGTAGTGGAGGCAGTAAATGAGAAAGAGCGCCACAGTCCCAGAGCCTAAATTGAGAGACACTAAATGTCTTGACTTATTTGGCTGGAAGGTAAACTAGACAGGGGGATTGCCTCAGCCACCATTTCTTCACCCACAAATGTTCCATCAGGTCGGATGTTCTCCATACTGTTCTTCAGAAGTGGGGATTTTCCCAGCTCAAGCTCTTCGCCACGCAGACCAATCAGAAGTGCCCTTGCTTCTACTCATTCTGAAACCTCAGCCCAGGTCAGCAGCAGATGCCTCCCTGATTCCATTGCATACTGGCCTCCCATACATTTTTCCTCAAGATGCTCCTCAAGCTCCACAGAGACTGGGCGAAATGTTATCCTGATAGTCCTGGTTCCACTCTCTTGGAACTGTTGGTACAACCTCCGATTCCAATTCCTCTGGTCCCAGACTTCATCACGCAGGATCACTGGTGTCTCCACTACCCAGATCTTTTGTCCTTCCACATCATGATATGGAGGCTTCATGGCTAAACCCAAACAAGCTGGCCTGCTCGGAGCAAGTCCAGCAGGTCCTCCTTAGCAGCAGGACGCCCTCTACTAGGATCAATTACTCTGCCAAGTGGAAGTGTTTTTCCTGTTGGTGCCTTGAGTGCTGTCTGGATCCTCTATCTGCCTCTGTGCCTCAGGTGCAGGTGTAACTACTGTCTCTGAAGCAGTAAAGCTTAGCAACTTCATTGCTAAAGATGCACCTAGCAGCCTAGGCTTTCTATCCGAGACAGGCTGGCTACTCTGTATTCTTGCGCCTCTCCCCCCCGGTTGGGTGCTTCCTAAAGGGTATGGACAGACTTCACCCTCTGGCTTGGCATCCTGTTCCTGGCTGGGACCTTAAGTTGGTCCTCTCAGCACTCATGGATCCTCCCTTTGAGCCTTTGGCCACGTGCTCCCTGCTTTATCTTTCACGATAAGTGGCCTTTCTGGTTGTGATTACCTGGAATCAGCGGGAAGGAACTCCTTGAAATTGGACATAGCATCCCAAGAGTTGTAAACATATGGATTGAGGACACCATGCTGACTAGCTATCCTCAATTGAAGACTGCCCACTGAACAGATCTTCCTGCAAAAAAGGTCTAATCTTTTAGCTTCCTTGGCCTTTGCATGGGTAGCCAGTAAGTGTTCTTGCCCTTAGGTTGGTTCTGACTCTGGAGCTGTCCCAATGTTCATGGCCTCCTGTGGTGGTCTAGAGATCATGGCCATGAGGCTTGAGAGTTCCTTGGTAATCTGGAATGGTAGAGAGAGTGGAGACCACCGATCTAGATACCCTGGATGCACCCTAGGGCTATGTCTAGACTGCAAGCCTCTTTCGAAAGAGGCTCTTTCGAAAGATACTTTCGAAAAAGCCTCTTTCGAAAGAGAGCGTCTAGACTGCACGTTGAACTTTCGAAAAAGCGGCTTGCTTTTTCGAAAGAAAGCATCCAGTGAGTCTGGATGCTCTCTTTCGAAGAAGCCCTATTTACATTGAAGAACGCCTTCTTTCGAAAGAGGAACCTTCGAAAGAAGGCGTTCTTCCTCGTGAAATGAGGTTTACCGCCATCGACAGAAAAGCCACGTTCTTTCGATTTAATTTCGAAAGAACGCGGCTGCAGTCTAGACGCAGGTGAGGGTTTTTCGAAAAAAGGCTCCTTTTTTCGAAAAAACCCCTGAGTCTGGACACAGCCTAGGACTGATGGTAAGCTCATCGTGTCTAACAGGGCCATTGCGTGGCAAGGGCCAAGGTGGGTATGACTTTTGAGTCTGTGTTTGCTGGTATGGCTTCTTCTGGAATACAATGAGAACATGTTGGATTGGGAGCCAGAGAGATGATCACAGGGGTGCCAATGAGTCCAGAGCGAGGGGCCTGCACTGAGTTGAAGGTGGTGCCAGAGAATGGTACCAAGACAATCAAAAGGATGATTGGTGCTGACTTTTCTGGGACTGAGAATAGTGCTGGGTGGTCAGTGCCATGGTATTGGGCATTGGGTCACAGTGCTGCACCCCTTCCAGTGCCATAGATCTCTCCCTCGCCTCCAGTGCTGGGGAAGGAGCTCCATGACCCCTCCATGCCAATGAGGGTGAGTATCTGCACGGGGTTTCTGCACGAGGCAGATGCTGGATAAGATCCTGGTCTCATATTAACATTGCATTTTCAGTGTCAGTGCACATCTGTCTGTACCTTTAACATCAAATCTGACCATTAAAATGTTCTCTAATGAATACAGAGGAAGAACTATATAGTGTTATCACAAGCTAGAACACTACACAATGTCACACATAACATCATGAGAGAAAAACCATTTTATAAAATCTCAACCCATAATTAAAATATTTAATTTTTCTAAAATAACTGCTCAACTGCTAAATAAATTATGTTTAGGAAATATAAAACACATCAGGCGATGTCCCAGATAAGCACTAAAATCCCAAATTATATTTATTACACGACAAACTTATCACAGTTCAAGAGGACCCACACAATGCTCTGAGAACCATTTAAAAGTCCCAAGGTAAGGGTTTAACTGTGGAGTAAGGGTTCACAGAGCTTTAAAATGCACCATCCACACTCAAGTGAATTTCATCCAAATCGATATTGATACTTTTAGGTTTTAATAAAAAAAGTACTGAAATTTCATAAAAAGATATTTGAACTCACAGCTCCAAAGGCAACAGAAAGCATAGTTTGCATTTTGGCATCTTCCCTGGACCCAATGACTCCTTTTTTATAGAGCAAAGCACTGCCAGCTAGTGTCCAGAACTTCATGTGTTTTACTCCAACAGACACAAACTGAGTGTCTGAATCCGGGCGGAACTCTACAACAAATATTCTCTCCAGGTGTCCTCCTTTGCTAGCCACTTTAGCCCCTGTTTTAAGAAGACATTAAAATAAAGCTAATGTTACCTGTAAAATTATCTCCCATGTGCTTTTATAAAAATAAACTGATTAATACTACTGGCTGGCTTAATAAGGCATTACTGCCTACACAGTGAAAGGTGAGTTCCTGTTTAGAAAAAAAAAAAAAAAAAAAAGAATATACCCACCTTGTACCATTGCTTAATTTATCTTAATTTATGCATCCAGCAAGCTTTCTGCTGCTGGCTAGCCCTTTACAATAACCACACTTAAGAAATGCTGATGTCCAGACATATGGATCCTCCTGTCAAAATTCTTGACTCTGGGCATATGCAGAACAAGCACACCTACAGTGGGCCAGCACTCAAAGAAGAACATTGTTTTATGGACCACTCTACAATTCTAAAGGTGCCCTGACACAAAATACATAATACAATATAATGCTGTTTTTGCGTTATATTTCTGGATTTTTCTATGTTTGAAATCCATCACAGTGCAGAGGACTGTACAACAACTTCTGCTTGAATTCATTGCCACTTAAGCCTTTAATGGGAGGCTAAAGAGGTAAAAAGCTCCTTGTGTAATCTCTGTGTACTGGGCTGAATTTCACCACTGATGATAGTTATATGAATTTATTGAAAACAGAATGGACCACTTAATAGAGGAGTTGTCTGATTTATCGGAGACACACATGGGGATAATCACAAAGTCTTAACTAAAAGAAGAAAATATTTGGAAATAATAAAGAGCTAGGGCCTCTAGATTTACCTTCTTGCCACCTCCACACAGTGATAGAATGTTCCGGATCGACTCCTACTGACACAAGAAGTTTGCCAGTAGCACTGAAGTTAATATAATTGACCCCTTTGGCATGGAAGCAGCGCAGCATAGAAAGAGTCTGCTTATTCATAGCATCCCATACATGAATAGAAGGAGTTGTACCTTAATGTAAATATATGCATTAAAATTGAATTAATTTAATTTGTGAAGGCTTCATTGTAAAATAAGCATTTCAAGAAAAGGGCATTTAAATAGACATTAAAAAACATTTTTAAAAGTTTAAGAACCACAAAACCAAAAAAAAAAAAAAAAAAAAAGCTTGTAATAGCCTATCAAACATAGGGAAAATGACTGTAGTTCATGAAATAAGACAAATTCTAAATGATCAACAAAACATTTATGGAAAGCCTCATGCAAAATAAACTGTCTGTAAATGTTTTTACTTGTATCCGCAATTGACACAGATACAGCCAGGTAACATAAAACTTTTACACAACTGCATTGACTAGAACTCACAAAACAGCCTTACCTGGAAATTCTGTTATATCACCTGCATTGTGAGAGCAACAGAAAATGAGGAAGAACCAAAGGAAAACGATAGCTGAAATAAGTCATGTTTCTAATGCTGAACTCAACATCAGCACCAGAAGGAAGCACAAAATTAAAAATGGATATGGATTAAATAAACAAAATAAAAAAGCAGGAATATTGTTGACATTCATTAGGAACAATGTCTTTTATAAACAAATACAAAACAACAATATTGATTGTTTTCCCAGGTATAAATAAGGTAGTTAATGCTAGAGCTATGCAGGTTTTTTTACATTAAATTATTTTTACACTAAAATGTGTTAATAATTATGTAGAATATTGATAAAAAGTCAGCAACACTAATTTTATGAGTTCTTTATTAAACAATGAGAGAAAAGGGGCTGTCTGCAATTTTTTTTTCATGCCACACCATTATTGGAATCTAGTTGAGAAAAACATGTATGTATTGTATGTATTTTATTCTAAGGAACATGTGAGTATAACAGGTCCTCAACATATTTTTAAAAGGGTTCAGAAAAATATACAATTTGGGTTCTATTTCAATATTTAGTAAACAATAGTAAACACTATCTCAAAGGCTATCTGTATTCTGCACACGTATTTCAAAATAACGCATGTTATTTCAAAATAACAGAGTGTGCGTCTACACAGCAAGCCCATTATTTTGAAATAATTTCGAAATATCGGGCTTCTTTCTCCAATTTCTGTAACCCTCCTTTCATGAGGAGTAAGAGAAGTTGAAGGAAGAGTGTTCTTCCTTAGACTTCCTGCTGTGTAGACAGCGCCAATAAGCAAGTTAAGGTACTTTGACTTCAGCTACACATTTAACATAGCTGAAGTTGCGTATCTTGACTTTAGCCTGCACTGTAGACATACCCTAAGATACTATGAGTGAATGTTGGAATATGGTGAACTATTTTCCAAATATAAGAAATTAAAAGTTAGGTTCCAAACTTGTAAAGGTGTATTGAATTGTGTATAACTTTACTCAAATGAATAGTCCCAACAAAATCATGCATAAGGTTTACTCTGATGAGAGTTACATGAAAATGCTCTTTTAATCCCAAATATCAGGAGAGAAATATAAAACGAGAGTACAATTACATACAAACTTAACTCTTTGTTGGACTCAGCCATACTTTAGCATTGCTGCATGAACTATAGTGTCAGCTATTCTATCATATGAGATCTTAAATTTCAGTGGGCAGTAAAGGTTCCTTTTTGTAAATGTAAAGTACTGGTAAATGTAAATGTAAAGGTACTGCACTTTTTGTAAATGTTCTTCTATTTCTTTTCTCCTCACTGTTGTGCAGCATGCTGTACCATGGTTCACTCCAAAAGGGAAAGTGTTTTAGGGAGTTCATATATACCTAATGTGTAATGCACTTAGGCATTCTTCAGGATATAAAGTGTTATACACATGTCAACTATTATTATAGGCTATTATTAATGCATTTAATTGAACACTGTGGATTCACCTGAATAATACAGAGACAGTGAGCATAATAAGGAATATGAGTTTTTCTTTTTTAATGTCATATAAGTCCTGAGAATAAGGCAGCATCAGCAAACAGAATGTGTCTGTCTTTGCTGAACTGTTTCCCCCTAAAGTGTAAAATAACTTTTATTTCTAACCTGAAACCTTTTTATTCTGAGTTTTAGCCTGGGGTGCATTTACAGGCAAGTTCTAATCTTCTATAAATAGTGATTTCGAATGGAAAGGCTAACAGAGGCGGAACATTAGCAGGAGTAGCATGTGAATTTTAATAATAAAATTAAAAAAGAAACTACAAAATCTTCCTTTGCACTAGGTACTCTTTTGAGAAAAGTAAAAGAATTCCACATAGCTGTTTAAAAAATATTTTTCTTCATATTAATATTTAACTTGAATTTCAAATAAGGCTAATAGATAGCTAAGTATATTTTCCCTACCTTTGAGCCTGCTCAATATCAACATTTGTATTAATTTCAATAAAAACTAAGCATGCTCAGATCCTCACAACTGGTGAGGACATCATATCAGTACACCCATATCTTGACATTTCCCTGACTCACTGTTAAGGTTCACTAAAATGCAAGTTATGGGTTTGATACTTCTCTTACTTAGGATATGTCTACATTGCAACACAATTTCAGGATACAGGAGTATCCAGAAATAGCTATCCCGCATCTTCACAGCAAGCCCGTCATTTCGGGTTCGCTATTCCAACATCTCTGTAAACCTCATTCCAAGAGGAGTAAGGGATGTTTCAGCATAGTGGGTTAATTTGAAATAATATTGAAATAAGATACGTAATTTGATCGCTCAGATTGTATATCTTATTTTGAGCTATGGTGCAGTGTAGATGCACTCTTACTGTGGTGTAAAATCAGGAGTAACTGCAAATTTTCAGTGGAAGTTACATAAAATAGTGTTAAATAAGGTTAAGTGAAAAGGAAAATCAGACCTATTTTTCTGTCTTGAAGCTCTTGCAGCTCTTACTTCTGTGAGTAACTTATGGAGACCACCCATATGTGAGTAAATATTACTCACATCAGTATGATTTCAGAATTGGGCCTTATGAGTACAAACTATGTTCACTGCTAAAGAGAGTTTAATGACATTTTCTCTCACTCTGCTTTACTTTCTGAGGTTTTATGAAGGTGGTTTCATTATAATGCTTTCATTATTCAGTAATGTGGAACAGTGGGTTGGTAGGAGCTAGAAAGAGGACTCTTTATAAATGAGATGATTACGAGCAATAATAGAAGTCCTACTACACATTTTGTTTTACACACTATTATAAGACAGGATATCCCATGGTCTAAAATTCAGTGGCTCATAATCAGAGATGACAATGCATCAGACAGATTGAAATAATAAGAAAATGTTGAAAGTTGGTGATCTCATTAAGGTGAAAGGATAAGATAGGGAAAGTAACACTGATATTTCCCAGATTGCTAAATGTGAACACATCCAGCCCCAATTAATCAGACCCACTGATACATTTTAAGTAAAGCTTTGTTAATATAGAGAATCACTTACCAATCTGACTGGTAGCCACAACATTTTTATATTTTGGGTGCTGGTTCACAGTTAGGCAGAGAATATCATCAGTATGCTCCAGATAGAAACTCTGACTTCCTAAGAAAATTCAAACAAGATTTTCTATTAACAAATAGTATTTATTTCAGCGTGCAAGTGAAGACTTTTTCCAGCAATCTGTTGCTATGGGCCACACTAAACAATCAAGGGGTGGGATGGGAGACACGGCAATTCTAACTTAAAATACAGCACAAACTTGCTGTAAACAGAATTCAAAAACTTCACAGAAAGGTTGTTTACTCTTTTTCAAACATTTAAAATCAGGAATGCTTAGGGAGCAGGCCAAGGGCACAACCTGTAGCCATTATCTCCTTATAGCTTCAGAGAAAGGACAAAATTGATCAATGCATAGCCCAGATCTCTTTTGTAAGTGGAGAAACCTGAGGGAGGGCCAGAGGAACACTAAAGCTTTGAGAAGTTCACTTAACAAATTATCCCCTCAAGGATGACTTTGGCAGGGGAGGGCAAATAATGTAGATGGGTTAATGCACTTGGAAGGGCATTTACAAAGCGATGGAAATATGATGGCTTTCCTTCTGTCCTAGCAGGCAGATCCTTAAGATGTACTGCTGACATTACTTTTGTTCCCTATAGCTGCTCACTAGCAATTACAGACTGGTAGCTTGTCTGCACTACAGAGTTTTGTCAGCAAAAGTCAGCTTTCATTGACAAACCAACGTGCAATGGAAGTGCACACACTACAATGCTCTTTCTACTGACAAAATACTCCTGCTTTGCCAATAAAATAAAACCACGTCAATGAAATGTATAGAGCTTTTTGTGGCAAGTTACATTAACAAGATGCCAGTGTAGACACTGTGCTTAGCTATGTTGCTGTAAATGGCCTTAACAATGACAGACTCATAGAAGATTAGGGTTGGAAGTAAGGATGTTAAATATCAGTAAATTTATTAAATGAAATTTCCATCGACTACTCGACTAGTTGATAGGCACTTCCTCATTCCTCCTTTGAAATGTACAAGAGTCCCAGCAGGACTCTTCAAAGGAGGAATATGGAACAGCGTGTGCAGCTCGGGCCCAGCGGGAAGTCCCGCTGACTCCAGACTGCATGCAGGCTTGCCAGTTTTGAAATGTACAAGAGTCCCCAGCAGAGCTCTTGTGCATTTCAAAGTGGAAGTTCCCTCATGGAGCCTGGGGGTCAGTAGAGCTGATTCCAGGCTCCAGTGTGCATTTCCGTGGAAGCCAGGATTAGCTGGCGACTCCCCAGCTGATCCTGGGTTCTGCAGAAATGCTGCGCAAAGCCCAGGATCAGCTGGGTTCCCAGCTGACCCCGGGCTCCATACAGCGCTGCCCCTTTGAAATGCTGCCTCGGCGTTTCAAAGGGGCAGCACTGCACAGCTGATCCCAGGATTTCAAAGCCTTGGCATTTCAAAGCAGCAGCGCTGCACAGCTGACCCTGGGCTCAGCTGTGCAGAGCTGCTGCTTTGAAGTAGTTCCTTTCTCTGCCTTTTTGCTGAGGGGGAGAGAATTGACTAGTCAACTGACTATCTGATAAGCATTTGATAGTTGATTAGTCGACTAGCCCTTAGCATCCTTAGTTGGAAGAGACCTTTGAACCCCCCTGTATAAAGCAGGGCCAACCCCAACTAAACCATGTCTACCCTGACAGCTCTGGTTTGCAGTTTGAACTCTGCTGCTCTGCACACAAATACACAGGCATCTGCCCCTCCCCACTTTAATGCCTAGGAATTTTTGAAATTCCACATCCTGCTTGCTCGGCGTAGACAGCTCACATTGCAGCTTCCTAGCTGGCCATGGCAGCTCCATGTAGCAAATGTTCTCCTGCTTAGAGCACACCTGAATTGTTGGACCTGATAGCACTGTAGGGAGGAGAGTATGTAGCCCCTGTTCCACAGTCAAATTTCCCATGAATTGTGGAATAAGGGCTACAAACGGAACACACATCAGTGCCATGTGAAGACAACTGAGAACACCAGAAGCAAAGGGAGTCAAACCATTGCTCTGGTGTTGTGATGAAGACCTGCCACTTCCATAAGGAGTTAGATGCCATCCTTGGTGGTGACTCCATCTCCAGGGTCAAGAGACCCGGACACCTCTAGGTTTGGCAGTTCATAGCCCCAGCATCCCTTTGAATACAGATAGAACACTGGTTTGAGCTGTGGAGCATGGCCAGACTTCTCTTTGCTGCTCCTTCCTCTGTTTCTTATATGAAGAGTAGGTGGCTTTCTTATCCTCCTCAAAACTTACACATGTTGTACACGTGAGTAAAACTGTAACCTTACCTGGGATTTGATTGTGTTAAAAATTTAACTCAAAATGAAAAAGACAGGCCGGGTTTATCCTAAGGTACCTTCCTAAGGACTGTTCATCCCTAAAGTTACTGTATGTCTGGGTTTTCCCCGACAGTGACTCCTTTTTGAGTCACTGTCCTTTCTCTGAGTGCGTGGATTTTTCAGTTAACAGGAAATGTCTGCAATTTTTGCAAGGCAGACAGGCTGTAGCTCAAAAAGAGTCTCGATAGGTCCATTTCCTGATTGGTCCATTCCTTTGAAAGCCATACCTGCTGGATCCTGCCTACCCAAATCCCAGTTTCCATCCCTGGGAGGAGATCTTGCAGGGATGTGGTGATTGACAGCTGAAACTATGTCCTGAGCTTGTGCTAGTTGCCCTGCCACTATGACTCCTCCCTGCTCACTGTTCTTCATCTCCAGTGAGTATCCCTTCCATAGGTACCCCCTCCAACTGCCCCTCGCTATAGTTTCCAGCTTCCTCTTTTTGGGAACCTAAAATATGGTAACCTTATTCAATCCAACCGTAGGTCCTCTTGTACTAGAAAGCAACTACTCTCTATCCTATATCCAGGATGGATTTTAACAAGTGACAGCCACAAAAGCGTATAAGGATTCACACAGCATCTTCCACAAGAGCTATATCTGCTGCCAGGAACAAAGGTCTCCAGAAAAAATAGTAGCACCCTATTTTACATTCATATTACAGTACATTAACCAACAACTACAGGCTAATTCACATGCATTGTTTACCAGGTAAAAAAAAGAAAAAAAGACACGTAAGAAAGTGACAAAATTATGATTGATTAATGAGAAACTTGTCTTAGCCATCATTTTTTAAAAAATAATTCATTAATTAATTTAAAGTTTTGCAGTACTATTTCATCTTGAATTACCCGTTGAAAGATTTTGAACTATGCCTGCTGCAGCTGTGTGAAAAATAATATCAGCACCGTCATTGAGGTAATGAAGGTTGTTGCGACAGTCAAATCCTCTGTATCCAAAAACATGCTCTAAAGCCAACTCCTAATTAAATAAAGAAAAAAGATTAGTGGAATAAAAAAATCAATCAAACAAGGGAGTTACAAACCATGTTTTGATCAGATAAAGCAGGGTGCTAAACTAAATAGACAAGCAAATATTTTGGGAGGCAGTGAAATAATTAAATAATAATTATAAATTATCCCTAGTCCTCTACTATTTTAAGGATGATATTCACATTAACTAACTACAATACTATTGGTTGGCTAGACCACTGAATTCATAGTCTACTTCTTAGTCAGCTATAAATAGATTGTTTCTTTAAGTTCTATTCAAGGAAAATTTAAAATCAACAACATTTACATGTATTATTTTTTTCACCCAAACCAATTCAAAGAAATTACAGTGAAAAAAATGTGTACAAAACTGTTATCTATCTTTTGTAATTTTTAATCTTCGAGATGTGTTGCTCGTGTCCATTCTATGTTAGGTTTGTGCATACCCAGAGGCATGGCTGTTGAAAAGTTCCCCCCTAGTGGTATCTATAGGGCTGGTTCTGGTGTTTTCTCTGGGGTGCTGCACATATGTGCCTGAATATGGGAAGCCGCTAGTCCCATGCCCTCTCAGTTCCTTCTTCTTCTCAATGGAGGGTCATGGAATGTACAATAGGAACACATCTTGAAGAGGGTAGGAATGGTGTCCCTAGCCTCTGTTTCTCTGGAGGAGGGTGACAGGGGAGGGATCACGTGAGGATTACCTGTTGTGAACTCTCCCTCTGGGGCATCTGTTATTGGCCATTTTCGGCAGACAGGATACTAGACTGGATGGACTGTTGGTCTGACATAATATGGCCATTCTTATGTTCTTAAGCAACAGTTACAAAGGTAGGTGATTTTTTTCTATTTTGAGTGCTTGCTCATGTTCAGTCCATGTTAGGTGAGTCATAAGCAGTATCCTTGGAGGTGGGCTCAGACTTCATGGATGTGCAACCTGCAACAGTACTCTGCTGAAACTGAAATTGTCTGTTGGGTACTGGAATAATGAGACCTGGAGGTATGGACTGTTGATGAGGTAGTGGCTCTACAGATGTCTTGAATCGGTACCTGGGCCAGGAAGACTGATGATGAGGCCTGCAGTCTTGTGGTTCTACCTAGTTACAATTGCTGTGTAGTTCTACCTTTTCCTGTTCATAACAAAACTTGATACAGGCTGTTATCCATGAAGAGATAAGCAGACCTTTCATTCTAACCACTTCTGCAAAAAAGAACTGAGCTGATTTCAGGAGGATCAGGTCCTCATGATGTGGAAGGCTAAGGCTCATCTAACATCCACAGTGTGTAACCTAAATTCTTCACTGAATTCATGAAATTTTGGAAAGAACATTGGGTTCTAGTTATTAAGAAATGTTCTGATTACTGAGAAATTGCAAAACCAACTTTGGTAAGAAGGCTGGGCGTGGTTGCAACTGGACCTTATCTTTAAAGTGTCCCAGATGACTGGAAAAAGGCAAATGTAGTGCCCATCTTTAAAAAGGGAAAGGTGAACTACAGACCAGAAAAATCATGGAGGGGATCCTCAAGGAATCCTTTCTGAAGCACTTGTAAAAGGGGAAAGTGATCAGGAATAGTCAACATGGATTCACCAAAGGCAAGTCATGCCTGACCAACCTGATTGCCTTCTATGATGAGGTAACTGGCTCTGTGGATATGGGGAAGGCACTAGATGTAATATACCTTGACTTTAGAAAAGCTTTTGATACAGTATTCTCCCCCAGTCTTCTTGCCAGCAAGTTAAAGAAGTATGGATTTGATAAATGGACTGTAAGGTGGATAGAAAGCTGGCTAGATCGTTGCATTCAGCGGGTAGCAATCAATGGCTCAATGTCCGGTTGGGGTCAGTATCAAACAGAGTGCCCCAAAGGTCAGTTTTCGGGTTGGTTTTGTTCAACATCTTTACTAAAGACTTGGATGAGGGGATGGATTACTCCCTTGGCAAGTTTGCAAATGACACTAAACTGGGGGAGAGGTAGATATGCTAGAGGGTAGGGATAGAATCCAGAGTGACCTAGACAAATGGGAGGATTGGGCCAAAAGAAATCTGATGAGGTTTAACAAGGACAAGTACAGAGTCCTGCACTTGGGATGGAAGAATCCCAATCACTGCAGCAATTATCCAGAAAAAGACCTAGGGATTACAGTGGATGAGAAGCTGGATGTGAGTCAATGGTTTGCCCTTGTAGCCAAGAAGGCTAACGGCATATTGGGGTGCATTAGGAGGAGCATTGCCAGCAGATCTAGGGAAATGATTATTCCCCTTTATTCAGCACTGGTAAGGTCAATTTTACCCCCTTCTCCTTTACTGAAAGAATGCGGACACATTGGAAAAAGTCCAGTGAAGGGCAACAAAAATAGTTAAGGGGCTGGAGCACATGATTTATGAGGAAGGCTAAGGAATTTGGTCTTATTTAATCTACGGAAGAGAAGAGGAGGATTTTGATAGCAGCCTTCAACTACATGAAGAGGGTGTATGTCCAAAAAGGATGGAGGTTGTTCTCAGTGGTCACAGATGACAGAATGAGGCGCAAAGGTCTCAAGTTGCAGTACGGGAGATCAAGGTTGGACATTAGGAAAAACTATTTCACTAGGAGGGTGGTGAAGCACTGGAATAGGTTATTTAGGGAGGTGGTAGAATCTCCATCCCTAGAGGTGTTTAAGTCCCAGCTGGACAAAGCCCTGGCAGGGATGATTTAGGTGGGATTGGTCCTGCTTTTAGCAGGGGGTTGGACTTGATGACCTCCCAAGGTCTCTTCCAACCCTATGATTCTATGATTGTTATGATTCTATTATTCTAGATATTATTCACAGAACAATTTTCACCATAAAAAGGGAAGCACAAGAAAAGCAATGATTGATTCTTTGGTGTTTGTGAATGAACTTTCAGAAACCAGAAAATCTGGACCTAACATAGTACAGATTATTTAAAAAACCTATTTGATATTGAAGATCAGATAATTGCTACAAATTGCATCTATAGATGACTACAGTATTTGGCTTACTCCGTGGATATAGTGAGCATATATTTTTTTTAAAAGGGATTACATTTTCAGGAAAAAAATGTGCTCTCCAAAATACACAAAACATCTGTATAATATGGAGCACCCATTTGATTTTGTATGCAATCATGATACATGCATGTGCAAATGCTCAATGTGTAACTAGTTATTTACATGTTTACTATAGCAAATGTCTGTGTAAAATAGGGGTGTACAGAAGGCCACAATCAGGCCTGTACATGACTTCAGTCTGCATCTGACGTATGGATGAAATTCACCCATTAAGCATTAATTCTTTAAAAAAAAAAAAAAAGTACTAATGCTTACCTCAACCAGTTTCTTTTTTTTGTTATCATTTTTTTGCAGTTTCTCAGGCTGAGGAGCAGCTCTGCTAACTGGTGGCCTGAAACAAGAACAAAGGAAACAAAAGAAGAAGATAATATACTGTATCCAAAGGCAAAAGAAAACTTTCAGAACTACTGTATATTTTATGTATGAACAAGGAATGGCAAACTGCTAATGAGCTCAGTGCTTTCTATTTTTAGAGTTTTATAAGAAGCATTTTGAACTTTGGTCCATTCTGAAGACTGAAGTAACATTGGTGGAAGTTGTTTATATCAATGGCAAAACAAACAATTCTGGGCCATGAATCAGGTATTTATTATGGTTAAAACATGCACTACATTTTAAATTGAGACTTATTATTCCCTGGTTTGAATGTAAGTTATTTAACTGAGATTAATGCCTACAGAGCACACTGCTATAATTAGTCACCAAAGACAACTAAAAAGACAAATTTAGGCTATAAAATGAAAAAAAATCCAATTCACTAACATACTCTTTAAATACAAATAGCCCAAAAAGACCAAAATGGAAGGAAAGAAGCTGTAATTAGATTAGAAAAAAAGTCTCCTTGATTATATATAAAGCAGTGACTAAAGAGCCTGATTCTGAAAATTGTCAGAGGAGCTGAACCCCATGAGGATGCTCAGCTCCTTTGCAAATTTCTTATCGCCTTAAAGATCAAGAATGCTGCAGAGTCTCATTTTATTTTGTTAATCTCATTTTAATAATTTCTCCCCCATGTTAATCAATAAAAAGACAGAGGGAGACAAATTTTACTTCTAGTCATATAGGGATACAATTTAGGAGTAATTCCCCTGAAATTAGATTTATACCAGAAAAATTTGGCTCCGAGTCTTAACTACATTTACCTATCTTTTACTTGAAAGGTGAGTTTCTCCCTGCTATAAATAGTGATAGTGGTATTCAAATGCAGGGGTGGGGACAAGAACATAGATTATGGGAAAATGCAAGGCCCCAAATACCACTTTCGGGAAACTCTGGCTGGTGTAAATAGTATTACAATTTATATGTCATGCCATTATTCCAAGCATGAATTCTGGAAATAGAAAATTAGACAAAAGCAAGACTAAGGATTTGTGATGAAAGTAAGAGGACACTATCACTATGACACAATCAATAAGTAATTCAGTAGCCAACACATGATTTATTTTAGAGAACAGTGGGATCTGCAAGAAAGAAGAGCAGACACCTGGGCCCCATTTACTTAATTAGCACATGAATGTGGCAAACTGCCAACAGTTTGAGATAAAAATGTATATGCATATTTTCTGCTCATGTCTTACTGAATATGAACTAGAAGATAGCCAGAATACACTGAATGCTGTTAAAGTTAGATTGCAAAGGCAAGAAGTTGCAGTATTTACATTCCTGTTCATGCCTGCTGTATTTGCATTGTAATCTTTGTATTCTTAAATATAATTAATTCTTACTTGGCAAAAAATCACTTCAGATTCAAACAGCAAATAACAACTTTATTTAATCTGAACTACTTTTTCTGCAGTGATATAATCTTTGGAATATTTTAAGGGCAACATTTCACAAAGCATATTGTATTTATCATAGCATTATATAGCACAGAATGTTGGGCTCTGAAATAGCAAAACAAAACAAAAAACAAAACTCCCACAACTAAAACAGGTAAATACAAACTTACTAAGTATTAACAGAACAGATCAGCAGGTGAACTTGTGACAATAAAAGAGGAAAGGGTTACCTTGATCCCCTTGTAAGCCGCAAATAAAACCAATTAAGAAACTTAGTATAGTTCAGACAAATATTTTTGGCATTTTAATCATGCACAGGCATTTTCAGAGTTAATCAATCATTCCTGTGTGGCACAAACCATGCTATTCAAGCATGCCAGCAAGAACTAAAACAGAAATTAAAGAGTGCACCAGTCTACAAATTCAGAAAGGTCATATTCTGGCATCATCAGGTAAACTTTGCACTAAAGCTCCTACAGCACAGGTTGAAAAAAGGAAGCTTATCAAAGCTTCCCATAACCTATATACTGAATTGAGAGTATACTTTTGTGTATTGTAGTTATTTCGGAGTGCCTTCTGGAAACTGTAGATGTTGGAAACATAACAAAATCTCATGAGTGCTGCTGTCAGTTTCATGTTGGATGTTTGTTTCCATTTGAGTTCTGCTCATAAGTTAGCCTAATTTCTGCTGTTACCTAGACAGTTTCTATTTTTTTGTTCTCAGGGAAACAAGACACATTTATTTTCTCTGAAATTGTTACATCAGAACACATCATGTTATCTGGACCAAACTTGGTAGAATCACCACCAGAGACTAAATGGGAAGTAAATGATCAGAAAATGTCATTCCATCTAAAATATTAAGCTAAGCTAGAACATTTTGCAAAGAGCAATTTGAACCCAGAACTAGGATGAGGTCTTCAAATCAGTAATTCAGAAAAGTATCAATTGTTTTTTTTTGCACATTTCCTGCTCTTTTTTCTGTTTTAGTATAATTTTAAAATGAATTGATTTTATGTTTCTTCACCTAAGAATGTTTGTTAAAGTTTATGACAAAAGCAAGCCAGGATTTGTGATGAAAGTAAGAGGACACTATCACTATGACACAATCAATAAGTAATTCAGTAGCCAACACATGATTTATTTTGAAAGCACACACACAGAGACATATATTATATATATATCTACACACAGTACATACACACAAATATTGTGTGTATTTATATATACATATACATGTATATATATACACATATGCATTCAATGCTTTATTTTCACATTGTGAATCATAAAAGAAATGTAAAAGAAAAGCAGCATCAAGTTTATTTTCTCTTTTAAAAAGTCTATAATCATTGCTATTTTGTTTGAAACTTAAGATGACAGTGTTGAGGGTGAGAAATTTGCATTGCAATAAATTAAATATATTTACCCTTTGTGATCTATGCATTTTGTACTGTACATTCATAGAAACCTGTGATTTTCCTGTGTGTTAATACTTACTTGACAATTCCCTGCCTCCAAAGGAAAGCAAGTTAAAACATAATACAAGTATTAACGGTTTCTTTCCAAGAATTTTAAAAAATGTGTGCATGTTAAGAGATAGGAGGAATGAATTCTAGAAAAATTTAGACATACTCAAATATTATGGGCTTTAATTTTTGCAGGCACTCTTAATCACTACAGATTTTGTTTCTGTTAGTAATAATGGGCCTGATTCTGTTCTCACACCAGTTTTACAAAAATGTAACTCATCAGCTGATGTCTATGGACTTAATCCAGATTTATATCTGTGTGAATAAGAACAGAATTAGCCCTGCTGTTTCTACAGGGTTGCGTCTAGACTGGCAAGATTTTGCGCAAAAGCAGCTACTTTTGCACAAAATCTTGCCGCCTGTCTACACTGGCTGTGAGTATTTGCGCAAGAATACTGACTTTGTACTGTACAAAATCAGTGCTTCTTGCGCAAATACTCTGATGCTCCCGCTCAGGGATAAGCCTTCTTGCGCAAGTATTCTTGCCAAGTTAATTTCTTGCGCAAGAAAGCCGGATGGCTAAAATGGCCATAGGAGCTTTCTTGCACAAGAGAGTGTCTACACTAGCACAGATGTTTTTGCACAAAAGATGTCTTTTGCGCAAAAGCATCCATGCCAGTATAGACACTCTCTTGCGCAAATACTTTTAATGGAAAAACTTTTCCATTAAAAGTATTTGTGCAAAATCTTGCCAGTCTACACACAGCCCAGATGTTTAGGTGGGACAGGAAAAAGATGTGAGTGACAGTTCTCTTCTTCTTTTCAGCTAGCCAATAAGTCTGTAACAAAGTATTTAGATGTAGCACCAGAAAGGGGAAAATAGAACATGGATGATCAGAGATGGCAGCATTGGGAAGATAATACAAATTAAATGGCTAGGTGAAAAGTTGGGAGAGGAAGATTTGGAAGAGAGAGTAAGAAAAGGGGAGACGTCTTAGAGGAAATAGAATAAGGGTTGAGAGGAACTGAGAACATGTTACTGAAGACGGAGAAAAAGAGGCTTGACACCGCAGAGAAAAAAGTAGAGCTATTTAAGAAGGAGAATAAAGGAGCAGAAAGAACAAATTAGAAAGAATTGGGATACATTTTCTGGGACAGGGATTGTCTTTTTATCTGTGTGTCCAGAGCACACAGTGCAATCTTACTCTGATTAGTGCAAATTTAATAAAAAAGATAACAATAATAAGAATCCTGTTCCCAGTGAAGTCATTGGAACAGGATTGGGCTGTCAGAGAGGAAGTTACAAACAAAGCCACTGTCACCTGAGAGGCTAAGGAAAAAATTCTGGCAACTGACGGGGAGATTGAGGATGAGCCCAAAAGGAAAGAGATTGGCAGAGAAGAGGATATGGGTGCCAAATGGAACACAAAGGTGGGCAGAGTGACTTGTTGGCTAGCTGGAGAGTGCATGCTCTGATAACACAGAAAAAGGAAGTAAGCAAGCCTGAAAGAGAGAGCATACTCCCAAGAAGAGAAAGGCATGGCCAGAGAGAAAATAAGGCAGTCAGAACCTGGGAAATCTGTTTGGGCAGCAAAGTTATAATCTGAGATTTAATAAAAAGTTGTTCATATCATAAAAGACGCAAGCAAGAAATTAAAAAGTAATTTCCATTGGGTGCTGGGAAGGAACACACATATTTGTAACTCAGTTTAGAATGATCTGAAAAACATCAAGATCTTTTCAAAAAAGTTCTGAACTTCAAGTTCTGCCATCCTCATGTATATAGGGGAGTAGCATCATATTATTTAAGTGACAGTTAGGCTATGCAATCTTTTTTGCCATTATTTTTACTTAAAATTTCATAGATATTGGACAAGGGAGTAAAAAGAATGCTATTTGACACTGGGAATAGCCTGCTTTGGAATATAATTAATCAAAGCAAAATTTAAACAGGAGTAGAAGAAAACATTATTGAAAAATCATAATATCAGCACAGCAAAGTCACTAACATTTTTACAGTACTCTGCATTATTTTACATATAAGCTGATGCACTCTTTAAAATAAAAATTAGTTAACGCAGAATGCACGGTGTCTATAGCTATTTTCATATATTTTAAGAAAGGAAGGTATTCATTGAATTCACTTGTCATTCTAATTCAGTCTTCAATCATAAACAAGCAAAAAAGATCAATAGGAACAATAATCAGTTCTAAATGGGAACTGGAGACCTTTATTTTTATATTTATTGTTGTAAATATCCTGTGAAGCTGTTTAGCTGTTTGGTTGTCGTGAGATTTCAGTATAGGCCTCCTACACGAGTCTATGGTTCCTTCCTATATAATGGTATTCACAAGTAGGGCAACTTGAAAGTGCTTGCTTTGTGATGCTAGTTGCAGACAGAAATTTACATCAGTTCCTTGCTTCACTGGCTTCCAAGAAAAAAATTAAGAGTTTAACTCTGAGCTAAAAAGCTTTGTATTACGTATTTACTGGCTATTGTCTGACAGATCACTTTCTTCACACATATTACCAGACTAATTATGGTTAGTGAGGCACCGAAGCCTACAGATCCTAGATTTAAATGGCTTGCTGATCTTACTGGAAATACCTTTACTTTGGTATTCATTTTCCTTAGAAGTCTGACAGAATCCCAGTTTGCTGACATTTAGCATATCCTGCAAAATATGTCTCCTTTCTCAGGCTTCTCTCAGGTGCTTGGGCTCTGCTTATATTCAGTGTGTTAGGGGAGAAAATATCTTTCATTTATGTATTAATCTAATACATCCATGATAAAACTCTTGGTAGCTAGGCACATTTGATAAATAAAAATATTTACTGAAAAATATATTAAGAACTTTTGGAATGAAGTGGTACAACGGGCAATTAGCCTTCCAAATGACAATTAGCCTTACTTCTGAATAACTGGATTCAAGCCAGGTAATAAATAACATGGCTTTTAAGGTTCCCCTATGGTCCCTAGTGGACTCCAGTCCACATGATAAAAACAAAACAAAAACAACAACAACTCCTCAAAGCAGTTGACAGGTCCTTAGGAATGCTGGCGCTGAAAGCAATTTTCAAGTTAGAATTGAGAAATGTGGATGGCACTTTGTGTGGACAGGTGTACTGTACTGGTATAACTTTACTTCCAAGCACACAAAGCTTCACACAAACTAAAAAACAGTCTGGGACCAGCCCTCTGATTTGGCAATAGCACAATGACTGTCTTGCAGAAAATTGATTCTGAATTCATTAGGTGGCCAGTGACTGTGATTACACTAGTCACAATATGTTCAAGTTCCAAGGGAGAACCATTGTGGAAGCAATGTCCTACAGCTGGAATAGGTCAACTTGACATTGAGCTGTAGAGAAAGTATAAAAAGAGGATACCAGAAGACTTCACTCCACTAACAGAAAAATAAAGACTTTTTCTGTTATTTCCTACAACCCAAGAATATTTTTTTTCTGTATAAATTCTGGGTAGTCTCTACAAATGTATTTATACAAATAAAGATTCATTTCTAAGCTGGCTTCTGAAATTGCACTTAACAAATTATACATTTAAAATCCATATTTGCATGAGAAAATTATGTAACAGTTTGTCTAGGTATTCAATTTATGGTGCAAAAAAGTGTGCACAGTTTTCGATGCTTTTTTGAAAGCTGAACCCATATTTTATAAGAAATAAATCATTAACAAAAGAATAACCAGTGTCCTGACAGAAAAATCCTCTTTTTCCTACTACAGTGTATAATTACAAATGATACACAGCAAATAATTTGAAAAACAGCCTATGACAGATAACTTACAGTAAGCAGGACAGTCTAATTTGATGCATAACAGAGGACTAGACATGCTAACTCAGTTTTTGGTTTTCCATATATTCAACAGCATTGAAGGATTTTCCTTCACCATAGTTATTATTAAAGTTGTTAGTTCACATAGACATGCAAGTCAACCAATTGAATGCAGCAGACTCAGGATATGAATTAGTGTTAGCTGAATACAAAATGCAAACATTATCGTGCCTCCCTTATTAGTGGCATGAAACATAATGTTAGAAAACAGACTGATTGTACTTCTTGTCATTTAAATTCTAGTTTTGGTCAGTAAAAATGGTCCCAGTTCAACCATTAAACTAACCGTTAAACTGTTTCTCATATAAGACATAATTTGTTGGTATTTTCCTAAGTAATAAATAACATGTCTTACAATTGTCCTGGATTGTCCGGGACAGTCCTGTCACTGCCACTGACCAAGGTGTCCCGTGGTGTGGGAGCTCTGCTCTTCGGGCTCCCACACCGCGAGACTGTTCCTGCAGCACCTCTGATTGGCACCTCACTCCTAAATGACATAGGCAGAGCAGAGAGCAGAATGCCAATCAGAGGTGCAAGAAAAGAAAAGAGAAATAAGGGGAGAGAGGAAGACAAATATGGAGGGAGAAGGGAGAAGAAAAACAAGGTGGGGGAGAGGAGAGAGAAACGATTAATGAATTATCTTAACTGAATTCACAAACTATTACATTTGAGAGGACATTTTAAAAGTTCACCCCAGATCCTACTTCCCCTGAGCTCCACCTCTTCTGGGGGAGGGTTTCAGAGCCCACAGCAACCTGAGCACAAACATCTACACCACAATTTTACAGCCCTTCAGCCTAAGCCCAGTGAGCCAAGTCAACTGACCAGTCATAGGTGTTTAATTGCAATGTAGATGTACCCACTATTATATGGTAAAAGTGCAAATGCTGAAGAACCTTCATCTGGACTCCCTGACCATAACATTGGATTCTGCTAGGCCTCAGGGGCTCCCTCATCCTGGGCCATGACTAATCTCACTCCTTGTAAGGTCAGATACACGATTTGATTTCTATAATCCTCACAGCTCCTCATGCAATCCTTATTTTTCTTAAGCAATTAAAGCAGTAAAGGAAAAAGCTTATGCTGCCTTTCTGATGACATTTGACTTAGGTTAAGGTAGACTTATCCAGATGGTCTTACAATGTAGTTGTCTTCCCCTGCTGAAGGATGAAAATCCTGCTGCTA